GGGCTGTGAAGACCTAACGCAGAGACAGCTTTACGTTATTAGATGTGACAACAGTTCAGTGGTATGTTGTCTCCAACAGCACCTCCAAGTCCACGATACTTTGATTTCCATCGACACAGCACAGAGTTCAGCTGTGTAGCTGCGAGACATCAAACAGTGATGTAAGGCACTTCCTTTACAAGTGCTACTGGTTTTCTGTCCAAGTGTCTGACTACATATAGAACACGTCAGTAATGACGACTGACCAGAAGACTGTTACAGTACCAGTCTGAAGTCACATTAGACATCTTAAAAAGAGAGAAACTATAAAACACGACTATATAAAAAGACCTGATTTTGTTTCTGTTTTATACCCAGAAAGTAACAGTCTTTTGGTTTCACATGAACCAGATATTTTTGCATATGAATGGCTCAGAGAATAAAAACAAAAAATAAAATAAAGTAGCAGATAAATAAAAGTATAAAAAGCTAACCATGTCTTTAGTTTCATACATACACGTCACAGCATCCGTCCTTTGGAAGTTCATTATTACAGATAAGATGCAAATCCCCCAATTTGATAAATAAGTGTTTTCTCCAACAGAGTACCTGTGATAGTAGTTTTACAATGTATGTTGTTAGTTATCCACATAAATCAATCGATTAATAAATAGACACGGCTGAGGGGTCAGAAGTTTTTGAAGACCTCCAAGTCTTTCTCGGCCACAGGGGGGTCTTTTTTCCAGTCGTCCTCTGGGTAAACATCAAAGTTGGAGGTGTCGCCCTCATGGGAAACCTTAGGAACTATAGGAGGCTGGAAACAAGGAGGAGGAACGTGTTAAAGGGAGGTGAGGGACTGCAGGGCAACGCTAGTGAGTATTCACATACAGGCAGTGTTCCTAATTCATTCAAAGTTTGATCCAGAAACATCCGGACAGACACAGTTCTCTATTCAGCACTACAAGAATAGATCGCGATAACACACAGACTTAAATTCAGTTCAAAGGGTTATTATTTATCTCTCTATAGATAGATCTCTCT